TTATTACCACAGTTATTGATTTACGTTAAATACAAATATAAAATTGGGTCGAGCTATATTACAGACGAGAATAGCATGATAAATAGCTGTCGATAAACACACCAGTGACACATCTGCGCACAGAGTTCAACTCACAACCATTCCGACAACCACTATCATGTACATTTCATCCGTGTTTACCTTATCACGAATCACGCTCGTCCACATCAAGCGTTATTTACACGAACATTTTGTACATTTCCAGAGTGTGTTTACCCAACGTATCATGCTAATCACGGCGACATTCGCGATGGAGTGTGTGTGACTACATTATTGTCCCAGTAACATATGGAATATATTACGTATATAATAATGTCGTCTCTTATGAGTCATTACTCCACATATCGGGGATTTTTTTTACAACATTGTATTATCCGTATCCTTGGTATTGTAATAATAACAAAATATAATAAGAGCATAATCTATTTAAATATACGTTATAAGCCGATTTAACAATTTAACTTTTTATAAATTGTGATTTCTTTTTGTTATTATCGAATTTAATTGAGATAACGTAATATCGGACAAATATAATTAATTAATTTCAGTGATACTACGTATTTAGTTACGTTACACGGATTTGCATGTAATTGGGAGCAATTTCTGGTCAAATAAAGCACGATCTATGGAAGATTGAAATGACAATACGGCTAACGTTAACGACCCTCCGCCATATGGAGCGTATAACGCATATATAACGTACATTACGTTGCTAATGCCGTGAAATTCGACTAAAAAAATCTACTTACTGGTGGGTGCGGGTGCAGTAGTTGTATCCAAAATGGCGTGGTTTTTTCTATATTATATCGCACGCAGAGCAGAACACAATAAAATGGTATAGTGACACCTGTTGCAATATTTAAGGTCAAAGGTCGACTGATTGAGAGAAAAACTGAAAGTATTATATGATGCCACTTAATATTTGATTTACTTGGATGTTATTTCTATCATTATAATTATATTATATTATATTATATTATTATTTTATACCGTTATTTATGTAATTATTATGCCAATAGCACTTGCCTATTAGAGCTAGACGATTGGTACGGGGTATGATGCGCTCATACAGACTTGTGTCTATCACTGATTTTCATTCGTGGACATGTAACTGTCGGTTTTTGAACATATACTCTCAAACTGCTCTGATTTTGATGTTCATATATAAGGGGAAGTGTTTAGATAAAATACAACTAATCGTACATATCGATAATTTATTTTAAAAAATCCCTATTTCTGACTCACATTGAGTTTGACGGAAACACTAATGATTGATAACATCTCAAATGAACTTTCAACATTAAATACACCACACATGTGAAGTTCGGGTTTAAAATATCAAGGCTTATCTCATATTTAGATAATAGTAATATCATCATCATTTGTTTTAGTTGTCACGCTACTCTCCTTCCAAACCTTGCTGCTTGACCATGTTGTTCAGGAGGACGTGGCCAATCGCATTCTCCGCCTACCATGGCGGTATGAGTGGCGCAGACGGAGGAGGGCGCCACCTATGTACATGTGACATAAATCGCCTAACATGTACAGTTAAACGTGCCCGACCAAAAAAACATTTGTAAAGTAACACGACCCGTGTCGGGGTAGTGGTTTGCTTGGCCATTCCATGATTGAGAAATAACCGTGGAAAACATCCGAACAATACAACTATTCATGATATACAATAAACGAGGCGTTTGTTTTTCTGGTAATGGTGAAACAAGTTTTAGCTCTAACTTAGAACGAGGTGCAAGTAAAGATGATCCACCCACACTCTACTGGCTTCAATATTCTGAACTCGCCTAGAGGAAACTGTACCTACTGACTGTCGCATATATTTTATTGTGAGCCTTTGACATATGGAGCATAATGATATACCAGCATTTAAATTCCGATTCATTGTGATTGGTCGAGAGCGTTATTTCATTATATAAGTTGTGGTTAAATAGACGATATAATTTTTCATGTTTAGAAGTAGACCTGCTGAAAACGACGCAAAAAAACAAAAAAAAGTAAGTCTGTCTATCTTCAAAACGTGCTAATATGACGCACGATGCTGGTCGGAGTTTTTATTTTATTTTGGAACGGTGTTGATTTAGACATATTTTTACGTTGCCGTTAATAAGAAACTACACGAATAAACCTCTTAATGCCAATATACACGTGCGAATTTGCGCCACCGCGCCACCATGTACCTAAAATCGCTGTATGCTGGTTCCTGAGGGCCAATTTAATTTAACCACGTTTGGAAGTAAAACATTTCGGACACTGTGTCACATTTGAACGCGAATTTTAGTGCTTTAATGTGTATTGTCATGTCTCAGAATCAAGGTTAAAAAGAAGTCAGTATAAATATAAAGGAATAAAATATCGCTGCAGTGGGGTGCGTATGTAGGTGAATATGTGAAATATTGAGTGGCATACCCCGGTGGTACACCATTTACGTCATTTGCAAGATATACGCGGGCAAGAAGCTTCGTGTCATAATACACAGATAAGCGAAAACACGTGTATTCTATGTTTTCACATTTAGATACATTTAATTTCATATCTGATAAAGTGTAAGGGTATACTTCTAATGAGTACAAACTAATACACATAATATGAATAATTAATTAATTACATTCATATCGACTTTGATAAGCAGTTTTATTTCGGAGTAATTCAGTTAGTCTCTTTTCTAATTCTGAAATCAGTGGTGCTGTATTTGATTAAATCAGACACTTTTCTGAAATATTCTGTTTTAAAATTATGAATTTTTAACATTATTTTCATGTATATAACCATAAACGAAATGTCTTTACTGTGATGAAAGTATTTTAATATTATGCTGATGTACGCCCCCTAGCATCACCGAGAGACCAGTATCCATCGAAGGTATTGTACGCTGTCGTTAATATACAACTGTGGGACCTGCTGACCGTTCCGCCTCGGTACCTGTTTTGTTTCGCCGGGAGTAGCCGACCGTCGATGCTGTTAGACGAGTAATTAGCTGTAGTCACTACACATGTATGAAGCTTCCACTTTTTACAACCAACTATGCGCAACTAATTCCATGAATACAACTACGAGATTCCACGCAAATGATTGCACAAATATTGACGGTATGTTAGGACACCTAGTTGATAAAATACTCGGTAACTGCTCCATGACTGCCGCATTCCTCGCTCTATCGATTGTTTGTTTTCTGCTGATGGTCACACGGGATGTGGAAGTGCGCCTCGGCGTCAACCCCCAACTTTTACAGGTTCCGGATAAAGAAAGATGATTTAATACATTGGATTGGGTCAACATCCGTCGTATATTATCTACTCCACTCTGAACACGTGGGTAAACTATGCCGTGGAAAGCAGGTAGTTTAATACATATGATTGGGTCAGCATCCCATATCGTTCACAGTAACTGCGTTCTGTCCCGTGGTAAACGGTGATTTCAATTATGTATGCATTTGGGGCAAATTGTGCATCGTTTCCATATCCTGACCTCCTGCAGTTTTAAAGTTGCATGGGATGTTCTTAGACGTAAACCAGTTTGTATAAAATGAAACCAATGATTCGGCGTTCAGTTGACCTCCACCTAACAGTGGTTGTACATTAACTATTAAGACACCAATGAATTCCAACATTCACGCGGGTTTTGTTTACATCGACGGATCAATGCATTTTTAAAGTATTCTCCGCAACGATTGTTTCTATATTGTCTAACCAAAGCTGGGTATGTATGGCCTTTTGAACATTGTCCGGCAATACATGGTGTACAGAGTGGATATTTGACAACGTGGTTTCATGTAAACAGTTATTTTTAAACTGTTATATACATGTATAAATAACAATTTAATTCGCAGTAATAAGAGCTGGTACGTTGGTTTTCCTGTACAAACGTGGATTGTGAATATATGTGCAAAATACAACGACAAGACACTTTGAACATAATTTTAAACAAGTGACGTCTTTGGGTCGAATCGTGAGATCTCCGGCTGTCGTTTCAACATTGTTTATATTTCTGTCGTTATATTGTTGCTTAGAAACTCTACTTGTGTAGGTGTCGTATGAATGACCCCTGGTGTAACTTGAATACAGGTTATATCGGCCAAATGACTTTCTATGCACTTATCATGATCACGAACTACATTGTGTAATTGTACTATTGACCTCTGTAGAAGATAGTACGCATGTTCGTACCTGGCTTTTTTTATCTCCATCAACGCTCCGCGCAATTCATAGTGGTACAATGTAATGTTTGTACACGTATGTGCATGTTTCAGAATACTTCTGTTCTCGTGACCTTGGAGGTCGTCGCCGACCAGGGTGTGTACCGATATATTATACCAGG